ATATATAGCTTTATATATATATATATAGCTTTCCTTTGTATTTTCGTTCTGGTGCCCCTCCTTATTCAATTGTCTATGTTTTCCTTTCCTATTTTTTTTTTAATGCTGGCATCTGATTCCTTTTAATTTAGCATATCAGTTTTAAAATAGACACATTTTCTACAGCTTGGAAGAGTTTGTGAAAAGCAAAACCTAATTGTATTAGAAATATTTAATCATATATTGCCAGTGGATCAGGAATGGACATGAATCTTTTCATTCATTTATCATTTTTTCTTCATGTATAGAACTTCATTCCATGAAAAGAAGGGAGGATTTGAATGTATATAACCAAATTATAGACGTTTCCTGTTTTAAATTGTAGTAATCAAATTTTCAGTAACACTGATTCTGAGGGTGGCTAATGAAATGAAATAGACTATTTTTGCATTTGGTGTTGCTATGTGAAATATCAATATTTTTCCAGCCATTGTGTTTGTTTTTTAAACTTGGACATTGCTTCACTTTTTATTTTTCTTTCAACTTTAAATTTTTTTTTTGTTTATCTGTATTTCCTCCTTTACAAGTTCTAATCTTTTTGTCTTGTGTCTATTATATTGTCCTTTTGTACTTTGAACCTTGCCCTATGTTATTTGTTCATTGGTTTATTTTTGCTTTATTTCCTCTTTTGATTTAAGAAAAGAGAAGGTGAAGCAATTCAGACACAGGGAAGAAAGAGGAGGCCTTTTTATGATAAGACCAATGTTATTGTTTATCTGTTGGGATTTTGATATTAGGTTGAACATTTTAAAATTATCTGTAGTTGACCATCTTTGACCTATAAAAGATGTCAAGTTCTTCTGGTTCAAGCTAATACGTATATGTGTATGTGCTTTTTTTTTTTTTTTCTTTTCCCTATCTTTAACTCCTTACCCATTCTTTGAGAAAAGGCGTTCTCTTTTTCTTATGTTTTACAGTTGTGGGGGTCATGAACTTTAGAAATTCGTTAAGTCCTGATGTCTTCAATGTTCTCTGATTTCCTTTGGCCAGAGTCTAGTGGAGCATGAGAACTAGTTTTCTATAACTCTGATCACTATAAGAGCTATGACACTCTGATTTATCAGACAGAGGCTGATGTCATTTATCATGACAAAAGATTTTATAAAAGGAAATAAACTATAGCTGTATGAAAATGCTGCTTAATTTGACTTCATGGAAAAGTAATTATCTTCAAATAGAGTTTTTATGAGATTTTTCCTACCTTTTTCTTCGGTTGTTACAATGCCAAACAAGTTGGTTATTTTTAATGATGAGTGTTAATATCAAGTTCAGAATGGTCAAGTTGATATTGTCTTTTCAAGGTGTATTGCTTCAGGGTTGAATAAGTGGCACAATATTTACTAAATTGTAAAAGTGCATATGTAGACATTATGTGCATACACATATCGTTGTATCTGGTCATCTGCATAATATGAACCACTAAACTGGAAAACTGAGATACTGAAAGATACTCAACATTCTGTTCTCTAAATCTACGGGGCTTCTTTCCTCCTACTGTGTAACTGTAGTAGAGGGAACAAGAATCTCTGGGTAACTGTCGCTATCCTCTCTAAACCCCTGAAATGCTGGCGAGGAATAGTTCTGAGGACCAAGCAGGAGCAGGAGCCCCTGTGTAAAAGCAAATGGAACCAATCATAGTGCCCACGCTAGAGGGACTTAAATTCCTGTGCGAAGACCTGGTCCACAGCTTATTTTATTAGACGTTACATTGCATTTTATGTGTGCTCTAAGCTGGTTAGGTTAGTTTTGTTACCATTTCAACATTTGCAAAGACATAGCAGAACAGAATAAAACAGGGTGAGATAAAGGTTCATGCCTCAAAAGGCTATGAACATTGTACAACTATAAAATTTAATAAAACTTGGCAGAGTTATAGCAGCTTTATAAAAGCAATGGGAATTACTGATTAACTCTACTTTTGTGTACTGTCACCTTTTTAATTGAAAAACACAATTTTCAGTGATGAATTTTAAGCTATTTTCCTTTCTGTTGTTTACTGTGGTGCTCTTATGATTCTTCAGAAATTGATAGCCCTGAGAAGTATTCTTAAAAAGTGCAGACGAGCATTAGAGATGCTGACATAACAGGTCCTAATTAGAGCACTGCCCTTTTGTTTGAGGAAGGAAGGGTGTGATGTAATAATTCACAAATGTGCTTCAGTTTTTGATAATTCTCTGAACACAAAACAAGGATGACTCATCCATAAGTACAAGAAATAAGGAGAAACAACCTAAAATTTGCCCTGATGCCACCAAAAAGTTACCAAATGATAAAACTGACCTTAATCTTCCAATCTCTGTGATTTGAGCTCAACACATATCCCACTACTAAATAGGAGATTATTTATAACTCAGTAAAGTCAGAACCACCTGGTTAAGCTGCATTTGTCAAAATTGTTAGATGAATTAAGAAGAGACATGCCAGCAGGCAGGGGAACCTGATGCTAATGTCCTCCCAGGGTTTCCAGCCTGAGATGTAGAAATATCTGGTAGGAAAAATGGCAAGAAAATGGTTGATGGTGGACAATTGGTCCTAAAGGAGGGGATACTGTATCAACTTGACTATTTATCCTTAGCTTCTATGGGCCCTGGAAAGGTCTTCCACAAAATGAAGTGAATACCTGGGTTACTTCATGACCACTCATTTTCAGCGGTGCGCTGCTTTAAAATACTTAGAGCTTCCCTTCTGTCTACTGAACATCAGCATGACCATGAAATATGGTATTGCTTACTGAATAGTTTTCTTTCCCCTGGTTTGCTTTTGGGGTTGCCATTGGTTTTTTTCTGTGTTGTTAAATTCCATTGTTCCAGATTCTATACTTAATAGATACTGCAAGCAGAACGGACTATAGAAATATCAATATGCTATTAGCTCAAGCAGTGTTTAAACCTCACTCAAACCAACCCTTCTCACCTTAGAAATTCCCAGCCTGGTGCCTTAATGTATAAAAATTGCCAGTAACTCTTAGTGACCATCACCCCACAGGCCTTAGGATGGTGCTTCTCACCTTGGCTATACTTTAGGGTCATTTGAGGAGCTTTCAAAAAAAAAATTTCTTGTGCCCTAAACCCATTCCCTGAGATTCTGATTTAATTGACATAGATTGGGTGTGGCCATCCTATTGTATGAATACAACTAGTTATAAAGTGCTGCCAGGGTAGAAGATCACAATTATATGGAGAACTAGAGTTTTCCACAAAATAAACAAAATAGCATGAACATCTTCACTGTTCTTTCTCCCTTAAGCTTTGTGACATAGCTTTATAATTATGTAAAATACAAAAATAATGAAAAAATACAACGATGTCTCGATTAATGTGGGGGTCTGTGGTTTTAATTAGCACCATGGATCCGTCATGGTCAGCTCTAAATGATCTTCCACATTACGGTGATTATATGGATTTAACAGTCTATTATCATTCTGTAAATGAGAATGACATATTTATAATTGAGGCCCCAAACAAAATCCTGGGGAAAGAACAAAACAGTCTATTATCTTTTAGTATATTCCTTTTAGACTATTTTCTATAATTTTTATTTTTTCCATACCCCATTATTTTGGTAAGTTCATGATGCACTTACCTTCTAGAATTATATCTTCTGGCCTTTACCAAATATGTGGAGCCTACAGATACCGCTAGGAGGGTATAAAGGTTAGAATAATTAGGTTTAGATAGGTTAGGTTAGGATAGTTTGCATGGACAGGCATACAAGTATGTTTTCCCCAAAAAACTTTTTCACATAAATCAGGAATTATCCTATGGTGCCCATCCTTTCAAAATAGAAGGGAGATGGGACAGCTCAGGTGTTCTAGACAGAGTGAAAATGGCCAAAGGCCTTTTTTCATGAAGAAGGAATACTGAGAATTACAATGATAAACTTCCTCAGAGTACCCTGCTCCCATCATGTTTAATATTAAATAATGGAAAAAAGCAGGCATGAGCCTTATTCCTCCACAGTGATATTGTAAGCCCCTAGAATCCTACAGAAGAGAGTCAGTGTTTGTTTGCATTGAGAAAGCTAGTATCTGCCTAACCATATGCCCCTGCATATTCTTCTAGGGACAATTATCTATGGCTATTGCCTGACATTTTCCTGTCATCACGTGTAGCACAGACATCTTCTGATCTTGGGATCGGTAACATGTAATAATTAGAAGAGGGCATGTAATTTTCTCCACCCTAGTCAAAGGGAATGTGTGCCTGAAAATTAAGGCATAATTTATAAAGTCCGTTTTTAGTTATGTACTGAGTAGACCATAGGCTGAAATCAAAATTACCCACATTTTTCAAATTATTTGTCTTTTGTGGAATATAGTTGACATCCTAAATCTAAGATATTGTATTTATATATTTACTTCAACATTTTAGTGCTGTATTGCTTGTTCTGGCCTGGTCCTATTGCTTAGAGTTAGATGTGAATTAAAAAGAATTTGAATGAGAGTGGATTAATTACCTCACTGTGGATAATTAACAGTTCTCTTATAAATGTACATCTAATAAAGTCTCCCAAATAATCAAGCAGTTATTACTAAGAATGATGCTAGAATACTCACTAGACAATCAAAACGTGACACTGGCATGTAAATGTGTTAAAGGGATGTTAAAAGTTTTTTTAAAAAAAATCAATTATAACATTGCTATTCGCACTGTGTGAAAAATACATTTAAAAAAGCTTTCTTTTTCAATAAGGGAAGAAACAAACTTGAAAATATAAATGAGTTTTTATTTCTTACATGGGTAAAATTGAGCACTTTTCCCTCTTTTATTTTAGTTTCCACTCATAGTTTTATGAAATATTAATAAAGGAAATTGTGTCTCTAAAATTTGCATTGCATTCAGTTTGATTAGTTCTTTCTAAATTTAGCACATTAGCAGGTGCACATCTTTTCTGGGCTCTGCTGGCATATCATGTTGGTTCAGCAAGAGTAATTTAGCTTTGGAATTACCTTTTTAACTCTGGCCTATCCTACATTGCAATGATAAAGGACACCTTCTGCATGAAAGACCAGAATAAACAGTCAACTTTGACGTTTGAAATTCTGCTCTTCGAGAATCTTCACAGCTGATTGCTTCTGATATCAAGTGGTGTCAGAGATGGTGACACTAGAAGCGTGATTACAGGCTTGATTCTGGTCATTATCCCACTAGCTCTTTCGAATGCTATATGCAGACTGCTAAGAAGAGCTACAAACTTAAGATCAAGTGCTAATTTTACTCATGGCAGAAACTTCTTTAAGTATAAAGAGAAATAAAAGTTAATTAATTGGAACTTCTCAGGAGGTCATAACAAAGATGATGTTTCTTAAACAAAAGGAAAGAGAGAGTGAGAGAGAGAAGTGATAGCAGTACTTGGCTTCTTTCTGCCCGTTTGTGACACCATGTTTATCTTCACAGCACTGTTCAACCTCATACCAGTGGGACTGCGGGTTGTTGCCATCCAGGGAGTGAAGACAGGGTTGTACATAGCCATGAATGGAGAAGGTTACCTCTACCCATCAGTAAGTAATGTGCCAAAGATATTGGCCCTTCATTCAGTGTTTGCAAAATAACAATAGCAGCAACAACAGAAACAATGAAGTTCTCTGTTTATTGACCCTGACGATCTTTCTTTAGTATTTGATCTTTACTACAATGTTGTAGGAGCTATTTATCCATTTTCATTCATGTTTGTTAGTATCAGCATATCATGCAGAAGAGTCATATTACCTTTTCAAATTGTGCATTTGCATATTTTTTAAAATGACCCAGTTCATAGAAAATTCAACAATTTTGAGAGTTGACATTAATATAAGCTTGTTTATTTCTATTGAGAAATACACTTGTTTGACAGAGTGTCTGGTAAAAGATTATTTTATAAAAAGAAACAATATTAGTATGAATTCTAAAACAGAGAAAATTTAAAAGAGAGTAGTTCTTTTAAAAATAAGAATTCAGATTTTGTAATTATTTTATGAAAAAACATGTAATATCAAATATGTATTGCATTTAATTTTAAGCAAGTCTCTCTGTTTTGTGTTAACATATATTAGAAGTTGAGCACTTTTCCAGCCATGTAACCTCTTCTGGAATATTTACTGTTTACAAACAATTCACATTCAGATGTGCTGTACTCATAATTATAAGGCAGTTAGAATGATTTCTGCCATAGTTCCCAGCAATAGAGACTTAAATGAAAGTACTTCTTTCTACTATCATTTGAGCAAAAATTGATAGGTTAAAGTCATGGTGCCTCAAAGAAAAATGTTCTTATTTGGGTCTGCCTGTCATTTTCATACATTCTTTAAAACTCTGTTTTTGTTAAATATCCTTGTCAAGAGAACTACGTATAAACATAAATACATTACATACACACACACACACACATACGCACATGCACACACATGCAAAACTTAAGCAGAAACATTCTCTGGGGACTCCCATGAAATTTGTTACATTTTCTTCAATAAATCTGGGAAATCCTGTCAAAGAAAATAAAATGTGAGTGTGGATTCCCTTCGTAATGAGCTGGAAAGTGCTCTTGTTATTTTGGAACTTTCTTCTGAGTTCCCTGAAGGCTCTTCCTGCACACAGACCTGGGCCCCACATTATGTAAATTGCATTCTGTTACATAAAATGAATATTTAACATATTTGGAGCAAGATCAAGCTAGAATTCCCTATCCTCCCCTTGAGGAAAAGTCCTATTTGGATAAAAAAGATCATTTTTTAAAGATGCCTTATTTCAGATACAAATCAATTTTATTGATTTGACATTTATCCTGTTATTTGTGTTTCTTTTCCCCCAAATAATCTTTGAGTTGCCTAAAAATTATTAGATGCAATATCTGCTATAGCCTCCAGTCCTTGGTTTCTGTTGGTGATATTTATCACATAGTTGGGTTCTGGTATATATGTTGATGTCAGGAAATATTTAAAAGTTTGCTTTACATTTTTTGCTTGAGAGAGATGTTTTATAGTTTTTTGTGATGAGATTGCCCATATATGCCATTTTTTTAAAGATACGATATATCATCTTGAGTATGTGTGTTAGCTTAAAATATAAGGGTTGGTAATGTTCAGTGCAATGTAAGCAGTGAGGCAGGCAGAGAAGTGAAGAAGGCGATAATTGCCCTGTCCAGACCTTGGCATCTTAAATATGGCCTCCTCACACAGGAATCAGATCTGTGGGCAATAGCACCTGCCGCAGGCTTTGTCCTAGTAACAACCTCAGGCATATTACCTGACATGCTGTTTTCTGCTCTCACTCCCCTGATTCTCCAGTTACTTGGCTTCTGGGCCTCCATTTTGGTGGATTCATTCTCTGATTTGCAGATCTTGGTTTTCTCGCCTTCCCATCTCTGATTCTTTTTTCTGGTAGGAAGCTCTCTATTTGCCTAGGCCAGACTCAGAATCCTCAGCCGTCTTCTTAGAAGAGGACTTAAATAAAAATCAAATGCAATTTCCAGTCTTTACTAATACTCCATAAAGTGTTCTGCTATTTCAATATATTAAAATTTGAACTTTAAATATTTCAGTGAAAAGAATGTCTTTTCACATTTGGTCATTTATTCCACAATTAGTTATTGAGAGCCTACTAAATTAATAATATAGCACAACACAATATAACAATTATTATACTATATAATAATAGCTCTACTTATAGAATGATAATGACTATATTTATACAGTACACTCTGCTTAGCACTGTTCTAAGCACTTTATAGGTTAGCTCATTTAATCCTTCCAGCAACCTATTGAGCAAATACTGTTAAAATGATGATACTAATGTACAGAGAGCTTAAGAATCTGTGCAAAGTCACACAAGTAGGAAATAAAGAAGACAGGATTTGAGCATTATTAGTCTGACTCTCATAGCTTACATTTTTAACTGTTTTTACTATAAAGTATTGCTTCCATGTGCCAGACATTTTTTATAACACGGTCTAGCACCTGTTCTAATAACAACTTATAAACACATGATGAAGTAATGAAAACCTCCAGGGCATTGTTACCTAGGAAAAATCTACTTTTAATTATTAAGATGTATAGTTTGAAACAATCTATTTTTTTGGAGATTCTCGAATAACAAAAATTGTAGGAAATTATATTTATTCAGGAAAAGTTTATATTAAATACTGGGTATTTCATATTCTTAAAATGTATTACCTATAACCTTTGAGCTTTAAAGTTTAAAATCCAGCCATAGCTAGCCCAACTGTGAGGTTTTGAACTAAGGTGAGTACATTTTTTAAGAGAAGAACTCCAGTGAAGCTCAGGTCTAAAGAAAAAGTTAATAAACATTTTAGTCTGGAAAGTGAAGGAATCTGTTTTCAGCTTATACCCACTTTAAAATGATCAACTTGATGTCTGTGCAGTGTAAACTAGTGTCTAATATGGAACCAATGTTATTGAGACTCCATAGATTTTTAAATGGAGGCAATAAAATACTCATATTATTCAAAGTAAGTTGTGTTAAATAAAAATCACACTAGGAATTTAACTCGAAGTATCTATTCCTCTGTTTGTATTTCAGGAAGTAACTCTCACATTCCCTTGTCATCCAAATAAAGATATTCAATTTGTCAGATAATTCCACTTCAGGGAGACAAAAAAATTATCTTGACTAAGGTGTAAATAATCATATTTCCAATGCTGAAGCTGCTTGTTCCCCATGGAATCTTTTCTTCAGTATGCCAATAGTCATTTCTTTTGTGCTCATAATAATTGTAATGTGTTACTTAAAGATGTATCTCGAGAGATTTAATGTCAGATATAAACAGTTTGCTTGATGGCACAATGTAGGCTGCAAGGTTGCAGAGCAGAAATCGACAAGGAAATATTGTACTTTTGTTAAAGGATTAGTTTTAAATGATGTTAAATGTATTTTGACCAACTATAAACTATTTACAGTGCTGTGAGGAACTGTCACATTTTGTTATTTCTCTTCCAAACCACCTATGACTTTGAAAGACTAAAAATCCTCCATGTAAATTCTGAACACTGAAAAAAATGTGGAAAGAAACAAAAGTATCATTCATCATTTGGCCTGAGATAAAGAATAGTTGAAGTCATAATACATTTCTGATATAAGAAAAGAAAGAGGAGGAGGGATGGAGGGAAGGAAAAGAGACTGATGATGCAATGAGGAAAGCCCTGGGCTTTAATCCGAACTGGATCTTGGATCTGACAGCCAATACCTGTGTTATCATGTCCCAACCCCTCTTTCTCTCAGTGTTCTCATCTATAAAATTAAAGGATTTCTTTGGGTGCTTTAAGTTAATATTGGGATTTAAAATTCTGGTTTTAGTATGATTGATCTTTCTGAATGATGAGATAAGAAATGTACATAAAAAGTATAAAGATTAATTATTGCTGTCTTATCACAGGCTGACATTTATGAGAATATTAGTTTCCAAATGGTGCTGTAAATGTTTCTATTACCTAGATGCAGGCCTCCGGGGAGACAGTAAGTCTTGGTGTTCTTCTGAAGTTAATATTTCATCTGAGTCTCTTAACCAAGTGATACAAATGGAGAGAAAGACAATCCCTTTTCATGCAGATTTTAAAAATGAATCAAGAAAATGAACTGCTGTACTTTGTAAATATTACAGCTCATAAGAATCACCTGAAAAGAGAAGAAAAATGCAGATTCCTTGATTCAACCTCTAGATATTTAAATTCACTAGGTCTCATGGGAGGCCCAGGAATTTATGGTTTAACAAGGGTCCCTCTACTTCCCCACCTGCCCACTGGTGGGTGATTGTAAAGCCCAATAATCAACAACCACACAACAAGCATTGTTACAATGGCTGGTGGGGGAGATGATAGTAGCTTTAGATCAAGTGGTAAGAGTAGAGTTGGAGACAGTGGGTAAACAGACTACTCAGGCACGAAAACCCACACTGAGTAAAATAAAATATTTGGTTTTCCTAACTTCATATTACACTAAGTTGATGTTTACAGAAATTTGAAGCAGTTCTTCATCCTTTACTAATGCACCAACCCTGAGACACCTGGATACTGTCACTTGTGTATGTTGACATCAACTCACCCACCTAACAATACACAATGAGTGTGTGCATAGTGATGAAATGTTCTTTAATTAGGAAAAAAAAAAGATACGGGTTACGTATTACTCAAAAAGCATTTCAAGGATCTCAAAGTTACCTGCTCTATATGAGATAGTTTTCTGATATTACAGTCAGATCCTTCAGAAGTATTTTCATTATCCTCTTTTACAAACGTGGTTCCACCTTCCCTCCCCTATCCCAACAGGCATCTCTTACTCACATGTCTTAATTTCTGTTGCTTTCCCAGCTCGATTTTCTAAGGCCTCCCAAACAGCAAAGCCTCAGAGCTAATTGACTCATTTTATCATGAACTGTACATCTTCCTGTAGAATTCATAACTCTAGCAAAACAGGATGCAGCAATGTTATTGTCCTCTTGTTATTTGCTCTTGTGTTCATTGTTTAAGTTTGGGGCATAAGAATAGAACTGCGTTATTTTTTACAGTGTGGT